AGAAATTTAGATCAAGTTAAATATAATTTTGGCAATTAAGTAAAATAATTTTGTCATTAATAAAAAACTAGTTTCATTATTTTAGTTTCGTCAATTTCATTATATTAAGAAAGGTAATTTTATCAGGTATTACTAGTGGTAATGCTATAAATAGTTAAAGACTAGGGAATGGGATCCGTTCAAAATCTGAAGCATAGTATGGTATATAAATTATCATATCATATTTCATATGATTAATTATTTTGTAACACAAAAGACATAACACGTGATAATGTAAACAAAATATCATTGGTTATCAGGCTTGCTAAATTTGGATGGATAGAATGACCTTGCATTTGAATGACATAGTAGTAAAGTGTCCTCCATTATGCTTCAGACAATAATGGTTGGCATTATTTGTTATTATTGGTGAAAGAACAGATTTCTCCCAATTTACTTTAATAAAATTTAATTTTGTAAAAGCTATCTGCAATTATCATGATATTAGTTAGATCGTCCTGTGACTGTAAAATCCACAAGGTATCATTCATATAGGCCAGTGTAGCAAGTTTAACAGGGAATTATGGAGAAATAATTTCCCTTTGTCTATTCCAGAGATGACTTTATATGGATCAGTATTTCCAAAAAGGGTAAAAATTTGATTAAACCTATTTTCAAACATTTTAAGAATAAAACAAATAAAATTGAAGGGAATATGCAGTCGTTCAAGTGTCCTGACTAATATAAAATCGTTTACATAATTGTAAGCTTTGGACATATTTTAGCATCAGTACCCATAAGTCATTTTTGTTGATATATGCATCATATATGATATTATCTATTAAACGAAGAGGTTTAAAAGTAAATTAAAGCCCAGCGAAGTTTAATCCTTTAAGAACATTATGATGAATGAAGGTAGAGGATAGACGTCAATTTAAAAGTTTGATAAGAGTTTTCCTGAAACATTCTAAAAGGGTGATAGGATGAGACCATCAATAGTTAGATTGTCATTACTGATGGCCACCTCAAAATCATCAGCAGTGGTAAAGTAGAAAAATGCATGTTAAAGATTTCTATAATTTGAACGGGCTTTAAGAATAACCCAAGCGAATACATCAACCATTCTTCTAATTTCAACGAGTTGTTTCCATTAGTAAAACGTGGGAGTCTAGCAAGTTTAGCAGAATATTTAGATCACTCAAGAATATCCACACAATTCAAATCACATATATGCATTCTAACCAAATTATTGATAATAAAAATTCCAATAACATGTTTTTAATCCTTTAAAATTAGCATCTTCTGCAAAAGTAATGGTAACCTGTTGCCACTATTCTTTATTTTAGTGTTTGTATAACGTCAAGAGGTGAAAATGTGCAGTGAACTGAGCAAGCGTGATCTCATTTTTCTTTGTTTCAGAAAGGAAATTTTTATGATACATTGTGATTGGTTCATTAAGTGTTTAGTAAGATTTACTCTAGTAAACAAATCATATTTGTCAAAGAACAAGTCGATAAATAACAAAGGTTCCAGGAAATTCTTCAAGTGGAAAAAATCCATGGAAAGAAAATTGAAGTCAGTCAAATGCTTGAGTCAAAGTTGTATTTTTATTTAAAAAGTTTTTCAATATATCTATACTTGTGTCAACGTTGAAAATAGCAGTAGTATTGTTTGGAATGATATCTAAAGTGTTTTTTTTGATGTTTCTGATGGCAGTGAGTCGACTTCTATTGTCATGACTGGTTCAGTAATCTCAGAAGTACTTTGGTCTGATGGGGTGTCTCTAGTTTAGTTGAAATTAGGTTTTTTGTTGATTTTAAGTGACGAAGTAGAGCATTCTTTTTGTTTGGATTTTGTTCTCTCTTATTTTATGACATTGTAACAGAGAGAGTTTTTTAGTATTACCTTTTTATATTGCCTTATTAATTGATTCAACTCAATATATTTTTAGTGCAATTTTTTATTGGCTAGTTATGTTTTAAGTTCACCTGTAATAGTGAAATAGTTATGTTTACTAGTTTTGTAATCCACTTTTAATAGATCAGCTTTAGTGATACCTGATGAAATTACCTTTCTTAATATGACGAAATTGACGAAACTGAAATAATGAAACTAGTTTTTTATTAATGACAAAATTATTTTACTTAATTGCCAAAATTATATTTAACTTGATTTAAATTTCTTGAATTAAAATACATTAAAAAATAATAATAATTTTATTATTTATATAAAAATATTAAAGAAATAACACTTTTGACGAAATTACAATTTTTCAAAAAAGAGTTTAATCAGATATCAATAATCAACTTTCATATATTATCATATATATTAACTAAAAGAAAAAATTAATTTAAAAATAATTAATTTATTATTTATATTATTGCAAATTTCTATGTTATTTTAGTAATTTCTAATAGTTTTGATAAGTTATGTTAATTTATTTTAGTTAGTTTTAATTTTGAAAATTTTATAATAGTTTTGAATAATAATATTACTTGATATTGATTTTAGGAAAAATTCTGGATGATCAAAATTTCAGATATTGATTTTGGAATATAAGAATATTTCAAGTCAACTTAAGTTACAATTAGTTAAAAATTTTAAAAATAATTATGAAAACCATCTTTAGTCATGAAGTATAGTATATTATATAATTTGTAGAGATTGGAAACGTCTCCTAATTTATCACTCGGGTATCCGTATCACTTTATATATTAGGTACCCAGATCAAATTTAACATAGCATATATAATTAAAATTTCACTTTATAAAAAATTTTTTCTCACTATTATATTATAATAAATGCTATTTTTTTTAATTTTATTGATTATTTTACAACTAAAAAAAATTATTAAAATATGTTAAGTACATTTGAATTTCTTTTCATAAATATCATTTTACCTGCTAATATTGGATTAAGGTGAGTACGTTTAGCAGTTATTTGATTACCTGCATCAGAAAATAATCTTTCATTAGGTACCGAAAAAGCAGGAATAGATAAATACTTTCTGGCTAATTTTGCTACATTAGGAAATTGAGTTTTCTGAATTGACCACTACTAAAAAGGATTTATATTATGCTCAGCAATTGGAATATAAGTAGGATCTAAATAACATTTTAATTCATAAAAAGGATTTGACTTTGCTATAATTACAATGAAAATAGAAGAATGTAATCGATTTTTATAAAAAAAATTTGATTAATTTAAACTATTAGGAGATGATATTGGTAAGGCCGAATTTGAATCAATTAATTATTTAAATTGACACCTCAATTCTTATTTTGCTTTATTTTGGATTTCTTCATCCCAATTAAAAAGAATTTTTAATCGCAGATCTAAGAGAGATGCTAAAAGTCCAATCATTACAGGTTGATTCCAATATTCAAATAAAAAATCATAAATAGTTGTTTCATTATTGCAAGGATATCAGTTTAAAGAGGAAGTGTTATTGTTGTTATAGATCGAGTACGATGATGATTTCGTATTGGTTGTTCTGGAATATCAAGCTCTAAATTTTCATCATCATCAGTATCGCTATCTTCATCTGATAATTCTTCATGTCGAAAATTAGAAGTATCTGTAATTAATTAATTAATTAAATAAAATAAAAATTTTTAATTTTAAAATTACCTGCTTGTTCTATTATATTATAATTATCACATATATATTTATATTTAAGAACTTGAATTAAAGGATAAATAATTGATAAAGTTGCATAAGATATTCTACTAAAATAAGTGGTTGCATCATCAAATGGCTCTAATAAATCAACTATTTGTTTTAATAAATCCCATTTATGATATAATAAAAGTCATTTTTTAAGTTTTTTTCCATTTGCACAATCATCATAATTTTTAGATAAAGGTAAAGTAGCAGCTAGCCATTCAATAGCTTTACGTAATTTTAATAAATGATGCTAGGAATGATATTTAGAATTCCATCGTATCTTAATATCAGCAATATTTCTTAATATTGATTCATTTGGATTAGATGAAATATTGATAGTATTAGAATCATTATCACTATCATCATTATTAGAATTATCATTATCAGAAGATTCCAATAAAAATGTATGTCGTTGATATTCTTTTTGAGCATTATCAAGGCGTTCACTTTGTTTAGGAGAAGTTGTAAAAAATTGTACTAAATGTTTAATTCGTTTAATATAAATGCTAGATTTTCTAAATGCACAATAAATTAAAAGCTGTAATGTATGAGCAGTACAAGATAAACGCTCAACATTATCCTATAAATCAATTGTTCGAACTATGTTACTACCATTATCAGTTATAATACAGGTGATTTTTCCATCTAAATCAAACTCAGATATTTTTTTTTTTAAAAAAGTTAAGATATTTTCTCCAGAATGTAGATATATCATACATTCCATACACAGAAGACAGTCATAAACATGAAAATCACTTGACATCTAATATAAAGTTATACCAATATATCCATATTTACTTCGAGCTGTCTAAAGGTCCATTGTCAAAGAAGCTGTTTCGCAGGTATTTACAAGTAGCATCTTTAATTCTTCAATTGAATTAGTGTATCCAATATGAATTTCTTTTTTAATTCATTTATTAGAAGGAATTGGAAATACAGGATCAATAATTGTCATCATTTTTCAATAGCCTTTACCTTGAATTACATTAATTGGAAGATTATCAACAACAATCTATTCAGTAATGGCTTGTCTAATTTCTTTATTTCGTGATTCTTTATGCAGTTTTATTTTAGATCGTTCTAAGATTTATAATAAAGTTAATTGAACAGATTTATCTTGAAGCTGTTATAAATAAATAATTAATTAATTAAATTTTAATAAGAATTTTTAATAATTATTGACTATGAAAAATTATAATAAAATAAAAAATTAATATTATCTTATTCATTTCCTCATAAATATTATGTTTTCTGCGAAGGTGGTTTGCCATATTACCTGTAGAACCATCATGTAAAAATCGTTGATCACAATATGTTGCTTCATTTTGTAAATTTAAAATTGAAACTTGATAAATATAATATTTGACGTCTTAGTCCGTATTGAAATATTCTCATGCCCAACTGGTTTTGACATATTTAGGTTTAGGTTTGTTTAACTTAAACTTTTTTGATATAAGTGATTGTTCTTCATCAAGAAGATTTTTTGGAGTTAATGATTAAGCTCTATTACTAAAGGCAATGGATATGTTATCATCATCTGAATGTATGTTAGAAGGATTTTCTTCGGAAGGTTCATCATTCATCATTTTTCAAGGTTAGGAGGTAATGAATTGAAAATTAAAAAAAAAAGACAGCTTGGAAGAATCTAATAAATTTCTTTTATATTTAAATTTTTTAAACAAGTAGAAAACTCGTTAAAAGAGAAAAATTGATATTTTTTAGTAAAAATAAATAAAATTTACACCTTAAAATTAAAATATTATCCTTAAAAAAAAACATTCTTGTTTAACACATGCATATCAGCAAATTAATTAACTAAAATATCAATCTTGTGAAAATCATGTCATAATTTGACAGTTATGTCAATCATCTGATTATCAAAAAATATCTGCATTAACTGGATTAATTAATCCAAATTAATAACCAGGTGATTTAATTGGATTATTCGGGTTGTTAAATCCTAAACTGGATCAAACTGATTTAATGCGGGTGATCTGGGTAACCAAAAACTGATTCCAAACTCTAATAATCTGTAATGTGAAGATTTCAGATATTAATTTTTAAGATGAATTCAAATGATCAATTATTTTAAACATCAATTATTATTTTAAATCATTTAATATTTAATCATTTTTCAGACATTTTTAAGAAATACCTCAATATTTTTAGTAATATTTTTGGATGTTTATTTTATAGGAATGGTTTATTGATTTTTTACTAATTATTTTTTGCTTTATTTAAGGTAGATTTTTTGTAAAATCAGATTGGTAAGTTTTTTTTTTAATGAGTTCTTTATTATTCTTTAAGGTTTTCTTTAAGATGAATTTTTTATTAATCTAATAATACTTTTATTTTTTTAGAAAATAGATATTTAGCATAATCAGATCAGTAAGTCTTCTTTTTTTTTAAGATTTTATTTAGATAAGTTCTACAAATAATTCTTTTTCTTTTTTTTAGAAATGAATTTACAGATAAAGTAAGTTACATGTATAGTATTTTATTTTTATTTGTTAAATGTTTTTTAATAGAAATTTTAATTTATTATTACAAATAATTATATTTGTATAAATTTCAATTTATTATAGTTCAAAAATGTAAAAAATTTTAATAAAATAATTTATATTTGTAAAATAAAATTTTATTTATTCAAATCACAACTAAATTAATAAATTTGAAGTAAATTTGCATTTCTTTTTAAAAAAATTATTTTTTCTACTTTAACTGATTTTAAATTACTTCTTTTATTAGAAATAACATAATAGCTAAAAACAAATGTTTACTAGAAACTGATATTGCTATTATTTCTAAATATTCTTTAACTAATTGACTTAAAAAAGAAAATTTTGTTGTTATTTTTTCACCAATTAAAGGCATAAGTTTTCTATTAGATTTTATTTTTAAGTAAATATCATACCGTTTCGAAAATAAGCATTCTAAAAAAATAAGCATTCTCTAAGCTAATTCAAATTTGAAAATAAGCACCATTCTTTCAAAGCTATAAAATTTTTATTTAAAAAATGTATTTGTAAATAATTTAATAACTAAACAATAAAAATAATTGTCAATAAACAAAATCTTAAAATTTATTACTTTTATTATTATAAAATAAATTTTTAGAATTTTATGGTTCTTTGTCAATCGTTACATAATAAATTTGCATTTATGATTTAAAGTTTTAACCTATCACTAATGATATCAATTAACCATCATTATTACTAGCAATATCATTACTACTATCATTACCAACAATATCATTATCAAATTTATCACCAATGACATCATTATCATTATTTTCACCATTTGAACCATTATTTCACTATCTAATCCGTTACTTTTACTGGTTTATCATTTGATTTATCTAAAGAATTCATATTTTGCAAGTATCAAATGATTCTATAATCATTTCGTTTGAAATTCTCTCCCAAGCCTGCTTGACTCATCTATAAACGTCAGACAATTTAGCATGATAAAGATTGCTTACTGCAGTCATTCTAGCATCTCTCTTTACCATCTATGAATGCTATTATCTGCGCATCTTGAACTATAATATATCAAATTTTCATTTAATTTGAATTACTAGAAGCTGAGATATAATAATATATAAATAATTTTA